GGCCCCAAGGGCTGAGGGGTCCTGGGCAGCATCGCTCCACCGCCCCGACTTAGGAGTGGCATGTGGAGCGAGGAAATGTCTCTGTATCTCTACAGAGGGCTCAGAAATTAACCGAGGGAGAGCATGAGGACCCAGAGGAGGACACTTGTGAGGACTGAGAGCCACGGCCTCCCAGGACCGACACAACTCAGTATGGAAGGGTGACCGCGACCAGAGTCCAGATGAACTGGGTTACGTCTCTGTGGACGCCACGCAGGGCTGCCGTGATCCAGGCCAAGCAGGTCCCCCACCTCGCAGCCTTTCGTGGCGATCCTATGTAAGTCTCTGAATCACAAGTGCCAGCCCCGGGAAAAGGACAAGAACAGACAAAATCCCAAAGTGACCCAGGTTTTTATTTCCCTGAATATACCCCAGGATTGGGTTGAACTACAGCGGACCTAGACTGCATTTTTTGCTATCAGAAGGATGGGGGCTCAAGATAAAATGGTTTGGTTATAAAAAGGAAAGGGAACTTTCTCTGCAGACTCAAGTTTGTAGATTGAAAATGTGTGCCTGCTACATCCGGTCAGCCCCCACCCTGTCCCGGAACCGAAGCATCAGAATCCGTGGCAGTGGAGCCCAGAAACCTATTAGTTTCAAACTCCCAGAAGAATGGGGCTTGATGGTCTGAGTCCCAGTGTTTGAGAACCTTCCCCCTTGACTTCTGGTGGCATCGCTCTTTCCTGGTTTGCTGCATTTCTGCTGCCATTTTCTGTCACCGACATCGGCTTTCCTCTGCCTGTCCATTCTGGAGTTACCCAGGGTTTATTTTCAAGGAGCTCTGGTGGAGCAGTGGTTAAGGCATTTCGCCGCTAACCAGGATGTCAGCGGTTTTACCAGCTACTCTGCGGAGGTCAGACGAGGCAGACTGCTTCCATAGAGATTTGCAGCCTTGGCAACCCAACGGGGGTCACTATGAGTCAGAATCGACTCGATGGCAGTGGGTGTGGTTTTGGTGCGGCTTTCCTTCAGTTCATTCAGCAGCCTTGTCTTCTTCCGTGGGTCGATAACTACCGTAGAGGTAAGTCCAGCCTGTCCTCAAACCAGTGGCCCTAGCAATATCACACACTTGTGACCTCAGTCATCTTTTCTCCTGCTTCTCTCCCAGTCTCTTCCTTCAGTCAGACACCAAGTCAGTTGCTTCTCTGTTGGGACCCACTCTCCTGGCAGGGCTCCCAGCCAGCTCCATACT